TCAGCAGGCCCCCTGGCCTGTAATGACTTCTCTTGGCCTGGCTGCAAAGGGTTGGATCTCAGAGCAATGCTCTGTGCCACGTTCCCGTTGAGACTCCCGTCAGTAAATGCAGACGGCAGCCCATCATACCTAACACGACCCATGGCAGCAGTTGGTGCATTCAGCAAAAGTGAGGAGGCCTTGACTGGCTGGACAGGCTAAAACCCTCCCTGCAGCCCAAAAGTGAAGGGCATTACTGCTAGACTGAAACTTCTCACCAATCCTGCAGTAATTCTCCGGGCAGAGGAGCTTGTCCTCACCATGGGGATATCTTTCAGCCACTTAGAGACCTGGCAGCCTTCTGTGCTACACCCTGAAGGGTCTGTGCTCCAACCTCAACCGTTCCAAATGATAGCAGAGGAGCAAGGCTACCCAGAGTCCCTTACTCCCATTCCCCCATCCCTGAGCCATGATCCAATACCATCCTTGCCCCACCAGCAGCTCAGGACAGCAGGTACCAGGGCTTCTCAGGAGATGTTCAATGAGTGTAGCTATCTAAGGGAGGGTGTAAAGAGGACGGGGCCAGACTCTTTTCCATGGTGCCCAGCGACAAGACAAGAGGCAACAGACACAAACTGAAACACAGGAAGCTCCATCTGAACATGAGGAAAAACTTCTTGACTGTGAGGGTGCCTGAGCCCAGGAACAGGTTGCCCAGAGAAGTCGTGGAGTCTCCTTCCCTAGAGATATTCAAAAGCCATCTGGACTTGGTCCTGGGCAACGTGCTATAGGTGACCCTGCTTGAGCAGGGGGGTTGAACTACATGATCTCCAGAGGTCCCTTCCAACCTCAACCAACCATTCTGTGATTCTCCATCCTTCCGGCTAGGAGTGTTGTCACCCTCACATCTTCCACACTGTGATCATAAGCGTTAGCAGGCAGGAGAGAGATGCCTATCACTGGGCACACCATGAGGCAAGCAGCAGGGAGAGCAGGAGAGACCAGGCCTCCCATCATTAGAGATGGGGTCAGGGGGTCTTGCTGGTCCTCAAGTGAGGCTGGAGAGAGGGAGCAGCTGATCTCACGAAATCATAAATGACAGCGCTGCTCCATGTGATCTTGCAGCTAGCCCTGCTCTGAGCAGGAGGGGACTAGAGACGTCAGGAGGCCAGTGTGTGTACAGGTGTTCTCAGTTTGGACCATGCTTATAACATGATGTGGCTGCAAAGTGACCTGCTTGAGCAGGGGGTAGGACTACACGATCTCCAGAGGTCCCTTCCAACCTCAACCGTTCCATGATTCTGTGATAATTCAGACTGAAAGCCATCTCCCGAGGTCTTTCCTACTTGTCCTACAATCCCATGAATCCTCCCTTGCACCTATGCCAGGTTATAATCATGGGGCAAACTGAAAGCACACATGCTTACACTAGGAGCGCTTCAGGTGAGGTTTCCTCAAGGGAAATGGGAAAGCATAGTTATGTTGTGTGCCGGGGTGGCTAGGGACAGGTGCCTTTGAAGAGAGCTGTGAACAGGAATGGGCTAGCGGAGCTGTGGCTGCATGGGAAATCCTCTAGGTTTCACTGGCTAAAGAGAACTGTGGCTTTGTTGGAAAAAAGAGAGGAATCTGAAAATAGAAGAAAATCCAAAGCTTTTGCCCTGGGCTGCCTGCATAGGAAAAGGGCCACCTGGAGAGAGAAACCTTTCCAGGAAGCTGCTGGTTCCAGGGAGAAGGTTAACTTCTGCGTGTGGTTTTTTTTCTGACTAGAGAAAGTGCTTGGGCTCACTAGTCAGTTGACTCGGTGATATAAAATGAGACAGAATGAATCTAGGCCCTGTAATTCAAGGCTGAATATCTGCCTCTGAGCTCTTGTTGTGACAAGAGCTAAATAGAGAAGAAAAGAAAGAAGAAAATTACTTCTTTCTTCCTATTTTTCCCCAATCTGCTCCTCCCAAGAAGAGGTCAATGTCTGCCCCGAGAAGTCTGCCTTTCAACTTTAAAATAAACGAGAAAACACCTTCAAAGTACCTTTCAGCAGCCTTCTGAGGAAGGAGTCCTCCAGGGCTCCATGCTGAGGACCTCTCCAGGTGCTCGCTTCCTCAGACCTGTTTTCATTCGTTGCTTTCTAAAAAACTTTTCATGCATACAAGGTTCAAAGCTCTCTTATTTGCGCAAGCCACTTCAATAAGCCAGATTTCAAGCCATGGAGATAAAAGCGCAGATGACAAGCACAGTTCTTAAGCTGAGTCCAAGCAGGATTTCATCGACTCAGAATGGTCAAAATCATTCCTTCCTGGCCTTAAATGCCTGTGAATCCTTTCAGTACATGAGGCTGAATAGCACCAACATAGGAACTTGCCACCGATTGTATGCATGCTGTGTTTGAGTAATGAACATCATACATTAAGCTAGCTCATTAGAAAGTTGAGGAGCTGTTACAGCTGTAAAGCCAAGGAGGAGACCCTGGGGAATGAGATAATGAGGCTCAAGTCACTCTTCAGTCTCTTTGCTGATCATCTCAATAGAAGTCAACCATGCAGATTGAGGTTTTTTTCACCTGAAGGAGCTCTGTGGAGCCAAGGCAAGGACTGAGCCTTGCTCGTCGCTTCTCCTGCATCTCAGAGGAGTTTTAGTTTATGCAAGTCAGTGATAAGCAAAGTAGCTTCCAAAGAGAGCACATGGCTACCACGACACCAAGAACTGTGGCACCTTCCACATGCCTTGATCAGGTTCCCATCAGGGAAGTCTCAACTCGGAAGAAGATGTTGTATTTGGGGGTAAAAAGGAGAAGGTCAATCAGGAATCTCAATCCATGAGAAAGAAATTATATTTAAAGTTAGGGTAGGTTTTTGTTATGTTTCATTTTGTTTTGTTTTGTTTTACTTTCGACCCTTGCGGATTTTTTTTAAGAAATAACAGAAATAGCAACTGCAGGAAGTGTACTGATCCCAGCTGCTGAAACCTCA